CTTTCCCTTCTTTTTCCCTCCCTTTCTCCCTTCTGATTTCTCATTCAGCACAGGCACCTGAAAAAAGAAAATTACAATTCTATGCTGTATTAAAATGAGTGTCAGATGCAAGATGTGAGAGGTAATCCTAAGGGGCATCTCACTTTAAGGATGGAGACAAATTACAGAAGGTCCAGAGCACTGCAAAGCTTTGAAAAAGCCTAAATGCAAAAAGCCTTAGAAGGCCTGACCTACTGAGAGGGAGGGGGTGAACACAATTCACAGACAGTTTCCCAATGCAGAAGGAACTGGAAAATTTGACTTTACTGGACATAAAGGTGATGAAAGTTGGATATTACCTAAACCAGTCTATTTTTAAAGGATAATGAGGTACTGCAAGATACCACTTAGGATGAGTGTGGCAATGCAGGCACAAGGGACGTGAAAGAGCAGTTTAGACAAGAAATCTGCATGAGGCCAGGTAGGTGTATTAGAACCTGGCTCAGCACATGGGAATGGATTACATGAGACCCATCCCAGTACTGCTTTTCATGTTTCCACTATTGCTCCTCTTTACAATCTTGTATTTTTATCTATTATTCCCTAATTTTTCCTTTTGTCTTTTTTCTTCCTTCCACTTTAATCCTCCACCCTCCCTTTCCCCATAGAAATCTCAAAACATAGACTTGCAGGATCTGCTCTTGATTTGGAGTGACGGAAGGATGGGCTCCCTCTGAAAATACTAGAAATGAGATGTGATGTGTGTGAAATCCCCCCTCCCCTCAGCTCTTGCTTGGCCAGAGAAAAGACCACTTATTTGCCTTGGGCGCACAGAAGAAGAGACCATTAGTTCTTCACTGAGTGTCATACTCTGGATGTAACAGTCTCTTTCCTCTGTTTCTTCCCTATTAGAAATGGCTTTCCTCCCCGTTCTCCACATCTTCCTACTGTGTGAGCAGCACAATCCCAGAGATCTCCATGCTTGAGGTGATGCAGAAGAATGATCAGGAATCCCAGTTTCTCCTTTCGAAGGGCATGCTGTCCTCTGAACCTCCCTTAGAAACCAGTGGGCACTCTCTGTCCAGCTGCTTCACCAACCAAGGCTACTTCTTCTTTCATCTTCCCAACTCCTTTGAGATTGAGCCCTGTCAAGTTTACTTCACCTATGAGCCTTTCTCCCAGGAGAACAGTGGCAGTGAGGATGGTGAGTCTTACCACGCTCTGCCTTCCCCTGACCTCTGCACGCTGGCAGAGGATGTGCCTGTGTTGTCCCACAGCTTCCTCCAGTGCATCAAGGGGACCCAGGGCTTCCAAAATGGTTCCTTTGTGGAAGAGACAGAGGGTGAAGTCCAGCAGGCCATGGCTATTTCTGGGGCTCTCCTGCCAACTGAAAGCACCTCGCCAACACCATCTCTGAAGCAAGATGAGGAAGTTACAGACAAAGCAACTTTACAGCCATCTAAGACCCTATGCCAGCTGGACACAGTCTTTCCTGACCCACCAGACCTGCATGACAGCAATACTAGTAAGGCCACAGAGGGGAGTAGGAATGCAAGTCCTTCACTTGATCCCAGCAATCCAGTGGCATATGTTAGCTCTTCTTTTTCTCAGCCTTCACCTCTGAGGCAAACTCAAGGTGAGGATCCCTGCAGAACAGCCTTCTCCAGCCAAGTCCCAAACACTGGTGCCTACCTTTCTCTGAGGGACCTCCAAGGTCAATACAACCATCGCTCTGTCTAGGACCTGCCTGGGAGAAACCCACAGATGGGAAAGGCCTTCCCTGGAGGGAGGGCCAGATGGAGAACTTGTCTATTAAGATCATGAATGTGGCCTTTAAAGGGGGTGGAGGACAGGGTTACTCTAGAGGGGTGCAAAACCAGGAAAGGGATAGGCTGGAAGAGGTGTAAATTCATGGATGGATACATTGGTAGCACTCGTCCCCAAGATAAAGCGACGGTAAGCAGACCACTGGAAATGAGAAGACCTTTTGCATAAAGAATTTGGCTAATGTATAGATAAAATTGCACACAGAAAGTGATAAAGGGGCATTAAAACTGTTTAGTGGCTATGCAGTTAATGGAGACACAGAAACTGGATTCTTAGGAATATAGGACAGCAAAGACTCACTTCCACGACTGAGCCTGTTTCTCTGCTACAACTAGAACCAGTGGCATAGAAATCCCTTCCTACACTGTTCAAGTGTCACCCTAAAACTCACCAGATCTTTTTTTCCTACCAGCTCCTGAAGGGATGCTGTGCCAGCACTTCCATGCTCTGCATCTGGGTGTGAAAATGGCAGCTAGCTTTCAGATTGAGCTGCCACATGTTCCATTTCCCTTGTCCCAGCTTACAGGGCACACAGACCTCTAATGGGGAGGAGAAATGCCTAAGGACGTGGATGTGAGTTTTTTGTACAAGGAATGGTGGCACTGTCAGTGAGCGCTGGGGCTGATGACAAAATGAATAAGGACAACTCCTAACTAATCCAGGATTGTTTTGTTCCCTGTGGTCTTCCCACTTCAGGTTACTCAGGGATTACATTCTGAGCCACTTGGTCCAGCTTTAGACTCAGATCTTTAAGGTCGGTTCAGAGTCAAAACTGTGTCAGCTCTCTAAGCAGTGCAGTGTCAAAAGAAATTCCCATTATTGGGTTAAAAATACTGGGGAAATCCCCTGCCCCCCCACCAAGTCTGATGATGGCAGTAGAAAGAACACACACAATTTCCCATTCTTGCTGCAATATTTTTCATGAAATCGAAAGCCTTCTGCCCTGCAGGCAAAATACAGTTCTTTGACTATGATAACCTGATTGCAGAATAGCCCATCCCACATCCTGTATTAGTGGAAAACATTGCAATGGTGCTGCCCATTCCTTCCATTGCTCAAGGGAAAACATTGCCTAATTAGCAGCAAAGACGTAGCAAATGAGCCCAGAAAAGTAACTCACAAATCAGTACCTTTGCCGAAAAGAAAACTTCAATCCACTCACAAAACAATGGGGATAGCAATGACTACCTTTCTTTTTTTACTTTTTCCTCTATGCTTGCTGATCTGCCGAGAGAAACAGCAAAACACCACAGAATAAAGGTGGTGAGGCAAAGGATGACACTCTGTTCTGGTTCCATCTGTCCTTCCATTCACCATCTTTACTGCTTGTTTGTTTCTGTGTGGTATTTCTTGGCTATTCAGAAGTGGGGGAAAAGCCAATCTTGTGCTAAGATCTTTGTTCTAAGAGTTTTCAGATCAAAAAAGTACAAAGGTATCAAATTTGTTGGTATTTCTGTCATCCCTCTGAGTTTCACCCAGAAATGATTCTTCTCAACCTCTGTCTATACAAGTTTTACGCTTCCCCTTAGTCTCAGTCCCAAACTGTTACATGATCTTGCATTAATGCAGTCTAATTGTCATTAGGAATCCCAGATAAGGGGTTGCCCACTGGCTCAGATTTCACCTCAGAAGAGACTGCTCAAAGAAGCTGGGCCTGCCTGCAGCTGAGAGGGCTGGGGGAGCTATACCCCTCTTCTCATCAGCTCCAGCACCTGCCTCAAGATGTGGACTGCTCTATCATCTCCAGGAGGCAGCAGGTGATGCAGACCTCACAGTTTCCCAAATAAGCAAGGGCAAGCTATTTCCTGTGCCTTGGAAAGCTTCCCCGATGTACTTCAAAAAGAGACACTGAATCCCTCGCCCTGATGGGAAAATTGCTATCTTACATGGGCCGATGATCCTAGTTATGCTGGTGGTTCTCCTGTTCCTATGTAGATCTTCATAAGCTTCTCAATTATTCTTGCTACTAAGATGAATATAGAAAAAAAACTCCATACTTTGCCTCTGTTAATAAAAGAAATATCAGTAGAGCAACAGCATTTTGTTGTCCTTAAGGCTACGGGGCAATGGGGGAAAGGAATAACAGCCCTTTTCTAGATAGACTCTAGGCAAAGCTTTGCTGGGGGGACCAATGGACCTTTAGCCCTCCTTCCTCCTCCCTTTCCCAAGGGACTCAACATCCTAAAAGAGGGGATAATTCCCACTCAAAAGCAGTCAGAGAGGAGTGTGGGCAGGTGGTTGTTGAGAGCAAGGCATAGAAAGGGGATATTTGTAGAAAGGGCCATTTGGCCAAAGAGCTCAGCTGTGGTACCCCATCCAAAGCCCTTCATAGCGAATAAAAAATCCTCCACTGACTTCAGTAAGCTTTGAGTCAGGCCCAAAGCTCAGACAGAAGCTTAGGTTCAGACTGCAGTTTCAGGGAAGATGTACCTCTCCACAGATGATTTGGCACTCGTACCACTGTGCCCAGTGATGAGGAAGGAGGAAAGATATGTTAGCTACATGGGCAGCAGGTTTGGGGCTGTAAAAATAAGTTTCAGAGGGGTGAATCCCTCAGATATCACCATAAGAGGAGGAGGATGTTGGTGAATGCGCCTCAGAAATTTCTTTGCCACATTCTCTTCTGCCTGTTCCCCAGAAAGCAGAGTCGGAAGTGAGCCTACTGCAAGTACCTGCAAACGATCCAGCTGGTTCAGTATTTTTCACCTTTGTGAAAATGCTGACAGCTTTCGGAACTGGCAAGCTGTTAGCACTGTATTAGCAGCCACGCTGGGTGTGAATGTGTGACACTGCTTCAGGAAGTGCTTGACATAAGATCTGATGATAACCGGACCTTTCTTCCAGGAAGACAAAGTCATGTGGTCTCATATGTGAGTAACCCGGGTTGTGAATACCAGAGCCATGCCACTCTCAGTTATTTAGGGCCCCTTCTCTCCTAAGTCTTCAATAGCAGTTTGTAAATATCACATGGGGGGGGGGGGGGGGGTGTTCCACTCCTAAGCTGATGCAAACACACAATTCTAGCAAAACTGCAGAGAGATGCTACGATACTGCCCACCAGTACTAAAGTCGTAACAAAGCTGAACTCCAGTGCTATGTGGAAGATACTTGACTAACAGCCACAAACATATCATTTTTTTTCTCTTAAGTCTGGGTACAGTAAAGATAGCTGTCCTATCTCTCATCTCTGTCCTTCCAAGATATCTCACTTATTGAAAGGCACATCACTCTCAACCCCCTCCCACATCCTTTCCTTTCTTTACTGTGGGGAAGCGGAAAGTAAGGGGCACTTGCAGTAAAGGAATTCCTCTGAAGTCAGATCTGATCAAGGTTCTGGGTCCTTGTCTGATTCAAAGGACTGTGGTGATAGATGTGGTATGCTTGCTTAGATAGATCAGATTGAGATTCTGTACTTTGCATTCTGCTGAAACACCAGTGAAGGAGGATGCTTCTTTCCAGGAAGGATGGATAACAAAAAAGGAACTACCTCAGGAACTACCTCAGGAACTTCCCTCAACTGGGCTCACACTGCAGCAAGCCCTCACAGTATAACATTGGGAAAGTCATGTATGTATACATATATAACTAAAGATGCAGCTAGTCCTCATTTACCTGGGGAAATTCTAGCTTAAAATCACCTTTTAACATGAAATTTAGTCTCTTTGGGCAGTTCTGAAAGCATTTCTTATTGTCATCACATGTCTGAATTTCCCACATATGGAGCAATAGGTTAGTTGGGATAAATGTACTGGCCTGCCCAGTCAAACACTGCAGCCTTTCATTCAAATTTAATGTTTACTTACTAGAATCCCACACAAGGCCACTACAGAAATGGCTTTTGGTCTCCACACGGTCCCAGACTAAATCTGAACCACTGACAGAGCTGAAAATGGCTATCCCTGCCCAGTGGACAAAATGAGCTCAAATGAGCCCAAGTGAGCTCAGCCCGAGGTCATTCCCACTGGCTAGAGGGACAAACCCTCCCTCCTCCCCAGTTCCTATTGACAGAATAATTCCTTTTGCTCTAGATGGAGAGTGTTTGCTTTTTGTGAAAAAGCAATGGGCATGTACAGGTCTGTAAGCAGAAGGTGGTGCAGGCAAGGTGTGTGGAGAGCACCTGGGGGCTAGAAAAAAACAAATGTTGCAGGGAGGAGTGAGGGGCAGTGAGAGCAAGTATGGGGAGCCCAGAGTGAGCCAGGAGATTGGGTGATGAGGAGCATAAGGAGAACAGAGGGAGTCTTGAAGGTCAGGACTGAGAGATGCCACACTTTGTCTTCATCCATCCTGCAGCTGCAGTGACTAGAACTACTGACCCACAGACCCATCTTTCCTTCTTCAAGCAATCCATCTGTCAGCCAGAGTCTGCTCTATCCCCATGCTGGGAGACTGCCTGTCCACACCCTACATTTTGCCTCTCCCTCCCATGGGACCAAGGAGGGTAACTAAGAAATACAACAGTTGCTCAGCAACTCCCTGTTCCCTGAGGAGGACAATATAACCTATCTGCACCACCTCCTGGGTTGGCCTTCTCTGCGCAGCTGGAGATGCTCCTAACCTGACTTTTTCTAGGATCCTCCCTGCAGAGCCTGCAGATCTTCACCCCTGCAAGCCTCCGAAGCCTCCATCGGGAAAAAAAAAAAGTCGTACAGGGTGTGCTGACCCTTCGTGCAGGACGGTGCAGGACAAAGGTTGAGCTGAAGGGACATGGCATCAGATTATTGATCTCTGAGGAGACCTTGAGCTTAGGTAAAAAGATATCCTCCCTCTCTTTCCCCACGTGTGTGTGAGCCAGCTTGCATAGGGGGGTGGGCCTGGCCTCATAGGCAGCAGCAGATTTCAGAGGTAGGTCTGCAGCTCTGGGGGAAACCCCAGAGCCTACAATTAAATCTTCTAACAAAGAGAGGTTCTTCTATTGTTGTTGTTTCCTGCCCTCCTGCCCCCAACCCTTGGTTTGTGGGTCTTTGCTTATGCCTTTTGTTTCTGAAGGGATCATATGATAGCGGAGAAAGACTCTGGCTTTCCTGGGCTGCTCTGCCTGATCCACTGGGGAGAAGATCTCTGCAGGGGACCCACAGAAAGGTCACCCATGAGGAGAAAGGGGTGGGGGTGAGCAGTCCGTGCTAGGCCTGTTTGTACCATGTGTCTCTCTGGAAATGCTCAGTAGTGCAAGCAGATGTGCCACCATTTGTCTTGGTGCCACTGTTAGCTAAGTTTTTTTTTCTTTTCTTTTTTTTTCCCCCTTTTTTCTTTTCCTAGAGTTGCTTGACATTTATATTCCGTGAGCATGTTTTTGTGTTGCAAGGCAACCTGGAGGGTTTGGGGGTCATGCTCAGTAACTGGGGAAAAACAAGGAGATTGAGAAGCCCAGTTGGCCTGTCCTATGAGCACTCTAAGGCACTCAGGCAGGCTAAAATGGATGTGGGACTCTTTTCTATCGCTTCCCACATCTGCAGCAAGCCTCTCTCGTGCATTCATATCAGCAGACTCGCACGCACACCACCGGGCATGCACACAACTCACAGACATACACACAGCACACAGGCATTCCCGCAGACCTCTGTGCCCTCCCACACAGAGGTATTCACATCCATTTCCCCTTCAGCCGTGGAAACACACAAAGCCATTGGTGGCAGGTGAGAAATTAGAAGGAAATAGATGAACACGGAGGAAGGGAGAGAGAAAATAGCTGGGTAAGGTAACTGAGATGAACATGACTTCCTTAGGAAATGGTGTTTCTTACCTTCAGAGCCTGGGGCTAACAGGATGGGAGCAGCCAGGAGGAAGCAAAACAAGTAGCCTGGGCAAGAAGGGCAAAGGAAGCCAGAAGGTGTCCCATGGCACAAACAGAGGGGGGTGGAGGGCCCAGTGTTGTTTAGGTGCTCTTCACTCACTACAACAGCTAGTGAGACGGTGCCAGAGTGGGCTTAATCCTGGGACACATGGTCTGGTGGGAATGGCAGGGTTTGTTTACTTTTAAGGACAGAGAGCAAAAGGGCACAGAAGGCAGAGTGCAACTGCAGGCTCCCAGGCTGGGGCTGTTGTGTGCAACCTGTATGTGCATTTGAGGTCAAGAATTTTCTTTCATGTTTATCTCTAGGTCAATAAAAATATCACTTTTAAAACCATTTCCAGCCTGGGAGGACAACACTCTTGTCTCTGGATAAATTCATTATTGTAATCATTTGAATTTGGGGAGAGTCAAAGGAAACCTGCAAGATGTCTTGGGAAGCTGAAGGTTTGCCCAGGAGGCTTAGACAGGCAGGACAGGGTCTTAGAAGCTTGTCTTTCACTGGATTAGTTTTACTCACAGTGGCACTGAGCAAAATCTTTGGTGCTTAGCACACAGATCTCATGAGGCTATAGGTCTTGGGAGAGGAGAACAGAGCTGGCAGAGCACTTTCGATGAGGGATGTAAGAAAATCTAGCCTGACCTGGTGTGCTGTGTCACTAGATGCCCCTGATGGAGGCTGAGGAACAGGAGGAAGATGCCAACTCCCTCTCAAAGGATGAATCCGAGACTAACTCACGTGACTGCCTCCGCTACGTGCCCCTCTGCATAGCCCTTCTACTGCTGGCTGGAACTGCCACAGCAACCTGGTATTTTCTAGGTAACAGTTCAATGCATTTTGTCCCTGCACAGGAGGGATGGAGTTTAGTTAAGATAATGCCCAGCACTCAGCCCAAAGAGCTTTAGTGATCCTGGATGATCTTTACTGACACACATCTAGGTAAACCCCTCTCTTCTTCATATCAGCAAGGTAATCGAGCAGTGTCTTCTGTTGGCAGACTACAGACCGCAGCACCCAGAGCCGGCCATTCTGCAGTTTTACTCTGGCAGCCTCCAGGTCCTCAATCGCCAGTACTCCCCAGATCTCGGGCGGTCAGAGTCCAGAGCCTTCTGGACAGAGTCGGCTAAGCTCCAAAAGATGGTGAGAGCAATTTCATGACCAGAGCTGGCCCTGAGGCAGTTCAGTGAGTAGGAGGAGGAAGGGATCAGGTATGCTCATCCAAGTGACATACTTGGTGGGTCTGTACAGCAAGAAGGCTGAAACAGAGGGTTGGCTATAGGTCCTTTTTCACTGTAACATCAGTTGATAGTTATCAGATGACATTCTCGTTACAGCTGAAGGAACTGATTCATGCCACAGCGCTGGGGCGATATTACAACTCGAGCACAGTCTATGCCTTTGGGTGAGTAGCACCCACAGTATTTTTGGTTGTTCACATGTGAAAACTCCCAGTCAGTTATACTCTTGTTCTGCTGAAATCTGGCCACGGCAAACTGCTACAGTCCCCACTATGAGCTCTAGGCCAGACTGGACAGTCCAGATCCAGAATGGTTCCCGCATGACAGTCCTGTGGATGTTGTTCATATTCATTCATGGTCAAGATGAAAAGCTAAAACTGAGAAATTTTTCCCAGAGCCAAAAGTTCAAGAGAGAGGGAAAAAAAATGACTGGGAAGAAATGAAAATATGCGTTTGGCTTTCTCAGTAGAAACTAAGTACTTGGAAATTACTTTCTCTAATTCAAGAAAGTCAGTTTTATGGCTGATACTAAGCACCAGAGGGAGAGGCAAGAATGCACTGTGGGAAAGGTATTTCAGCCAGGAAGCATGGTCCACCTGGGAATAGGGTAACAGTGGAATGGGACAGATGTGGGACTTCAGCTTTGCAGGTCATCACAGTAGTTCAAGAAAGCACAAAAAAACTTTCAGACTGACCTTTCCAGTTGGTTCTGATCTTTCCACGGAAAACTACACCCCTGAATTTGTCCTTCAGCTATGGAATACTCCAATTTTGGCTTAACACCATTTTCAACTGGGGAAAGAAAAGTTTCACTTGAAATTTTTCTCTAGCATTTCACTGGAAAAAAGGTTTGCTTCAACATCTCTTCCCCCTCCCCCAGCAAATTTCCCCTGCCAGCTGGTTGAACAGAGCTTTCACAGTCACGATCTCCTGCAACTTGACCCTGCCCAGCATTAATGGCTTGTGGTAAGGTATTGAGCTGTAAATCATCCACTTGTCACCACTGGGAGGTGAGAAGTCTTGAGAGTTTCATTTCAACCCTTGGTCCGTAGTAACCACAGGTCATTTCCACCTGAGGCATATTCATTAGACCAGTCCTGAGTTAATTATCACACTAACTTGAACATCTATAGTCATCACTAAAGCCAGATGGCACAAAATGGCTTCCTCCCCCAAAGGACGGAGCATTAACTAGCACTATGGACACAACAGCTCTTCTGCCCTATTCACAGTGGTTCTTCTGGGTCACAGCTGTTGGAAAGTCCACACAGCTATGTCTGATCCGTGGATAAGCAGAGAATGGGAGGTTATTTCTGGGGTTTGTCGCTCCAGTGATTTTTAGGGATGTTAAATTCACTTGTAGTAAAAAACAAAAAAAAAAAAAAAAA